TTTGAAAGGAGGAAATGGTCCAGCCCTCTATTGTTAAGTTTGATTGAGTCATGTTCAAACTAAAACTAATAAAGAACTTTTTAGTTTATGTATTTCGTGTGTTAGAATAGAAAATGTCTTCTTTTGGAATTCGATGCTCAAAAAATAATTATGTTGATTTGCTTGTTCATAAAAATACTGTCAAAAATTATTTTTTGACGTCGATGCAGAAGTCATTCGTGCATACATCAAAACATAAAGTAGTGACAATGAATACTCTGTCTACTTAAAACTAATAAGTACATATTATCTTTTCTTAATAGAAATGATAATTAGAAATTATCTTTAAATAAAAGAAAATTATTTCGTAGTTTCATGCCTGATTAAAAAAGAGATATGCATAAGTTTAGTTTTATCTAAGATTCAATTTTACCTGTTACGTGTATATTTAAATGAATAAATCAAGATGAACCAAACAATAGTAACAACATATTCAACATTGTAATTCTTTACTTAATCAAATGTAATTTTCTTTGATTCTTATTTGATACTATTATCTTTTATCACAATATCGTGTCGAACATACAATTGTTCGCGACACTTTATTAAAATTTTCCATGAATTATCTTTATAATAAAAAAAAGGAACACAATTGTGAGAAAAAGATCTAGGTACAGCACATGTTTTTATATTTTTGATCGATACGAAAGTATAATTAAATCATCAAAGTTTATCATGTAATAGTAATGCCATAATTTTGAATTGATGCCACTGATAAGAAAAAGAAAGACTTTGTTTGCCGGAAACCGTTGGAAGTTAATAGATCATCCATCAAGGAATATTTTTGTGACGGAAGCACAATGAAGTTTTCAAGTTCAGATATGAAAAAAGTTGATTTATTAAAATTATTTAATTTTCTATATATATTATATAGTCTGTTTTTATTAGGAACAGTGCTTCTAATACGGCCAAATTGTTCTAATTAGGAGCATTGCCTGTCAAGTTTAAACTTGATATCTCTTATATTCCTTTTCCTTTGATGATTACAGACTGGCTTATATATTATTTTATTCACACAATTAGTGTTGCCTAGTCTGTGTTAATGTACTCCAATAATCTAGATATAATTAGAAATGAATATCATGTCATCTAACAGACATCTGCACAGTGGAAAAGATCTTGTCTTTAATTGAACATTAGCACAATACATAAAGAGATCAACTAATTTGAAGAGATTATTTTGAAGAAAAACAAAAGTTGAATTAAGAATTTAGTGATGTTGAAGGAGTAGTTAAATCCACTACTGGATAAAAGTAACCGCCCTCACCTATCTTAGTCCCTATGAGAGCTAAATATCTGAAAATTCTTCTTTAGGTAGTCCACAGATAATGTAGGTTAGCAGTAACATCAGCACTAAAATCACTCAAGCCAGCATGAAATTATAACAGGTTGCATTTACGATCACTGTGAAACCCTGTTACTCGAGATTATCATTTTGAATACTTAACGGTTCTGAACAACTCAATATATTTACTTTGTGGGAAACATGATTCAAATGAATATTCAAATCGAAAAGCAGGCATTCTTATCAAGTATCATTATCATCATTCAACACTATCGATCACTTCCTTTTTTTCTTCTAGTATTCTCCATCACTTACTCTATTTAATGTTTTTTT